AATAAAAATTTAAAAACAATGAATTCGGTTGAATATTTAATAAAAAATCGTTCTCTGTGTCATGACGATAAAATTTTAGTGAAAAAGTTACGGAGAGCGACCCCGATTTATTAATAAAAAAAAGTGTTCATGTCAAAACGAGAGACTTTCATAGACATTTTAATAGACGTAACACGTATGATCAATATTCCTGGATGTGTGGTTGTGAAAAAAATAATAAATTGTTTTGTTTTGTGTGCCTCCTCAGTAATGAGTTAAACCCATCGCATCGCCCTGGATTAGTACTGCCGTGGATGATCTACGACACTTAAGGGAAAGAGCAACAAAACATGAAAGAAGTGCGAGTGAGAGATTACATCATTTAGTGGATTACAATCTTCTCGGTAATACAGGCATTCGGAAACAACTAGACAGATTACAAAATAAAATTTTGTTCCAATCGAAGCCGACAAGACTACAGATTCTTTCAACCAATAGCAACTTGTTATAGTTCTTCAATTTTATTTTTTGTAAGAGAGAAATTTTTGAACGCTTTTGGGGATTTATTTGACGTTCAGGACATACAGCATAAAATATAGCGGATGCTATAATAACAGAACTTGAGATTCTCGGTATCTCATTAAATAAATTTATTGCTCAAAGCTACGACGGGGCGTCGGTTATGAGTGGGAAAAATGGTGAAGTTCAATCAATTATTAGGCAAAAATACCCTAGTGCTTATTTTACCTACTGTTATGTTCACCAGTTCAATTTATTGTTGGAAAGAGCAGCTGTTTGTAACAAAATATTGAAAATATTTTTTGCTGAAGTGCAATCTTCTGCTGCATTTTTTTCTAGATTCACAAGACGAACGGCAATTTTAGATGAGATAGTACAGAAGAGACTCCCCAAAGCAACTCCAACAAGATGGAATTTTAAACAAGAATCATCAATACATTATACAAAAAGAAAGGATTGATCGACGAGTGGTTAGAACAAATTATAATTACAGAAAATGATTCAAAAACAATTAGTGACGCAACTGGTTTATTGAGAATTTTAAATTGTGCAGATTTTAATTTTTTCTTAGAAGGAATTCATTATATTGTACCACATGTGGATGTGCTCTTCAACCAAATGCAAGTTCCAGGCGCTAACAGCTTATATGTTCAGAAATGTTTATAAGATTTTGAAAAACATATTACACATATTAGAGAAAATAAAATTGACACTTTAAATAAAGAAATTGGCTTTTTGAAAAAATACGACGCAAATGTTATTATTATAATGGACTGGCTCGACATTTTTGGAAACGTTATTTACCCAGCAATTCCGTAGGTGAAAACTACTCCCAGTTCCTCAACAAAATTGTAGATTATGGAGTAGATCCTCAAAATATTGATTTGTTGGGCACAGCCTAGGTGCTGACGTGTCAGGTTCAGCAGCCCGAGGTGCCAAAAAAGGGAAAAAGGAACAATAACAGCACTTGATTCTGCTAAATCTGGGTTTGACAATGTTCAGTTAGTGAAAAGTTTAAAAAACGACGATGTAGCTTTTATTGATATTATTCATACTTGTACAATAAGTGAAGAAATTGTTTTCAGGTATATTTTAGATGGCGTAGGGTTGTAGTCATGGACGAAGTTGGATAAAAAAAGGGATAAATATGTAAGGATGGAGAAGGGTTTTCCATGAGAGATGATACACTTAGTAGCACACGAGAAGATTATTATATATTTAAGAACAGGAGAAGGTTCACTATTTACTGTCCAAGGAATTAACACCGACGTTAACCAGTTTGATAGAAAATAGAAAAGTCACTGTTTTCCGACCAGGGTTTTTGTAATGTATTTATTATTCGGAGTAGTAATGGGCATTGTTTGTATGTATTAGGTGCAAAAATGTATTCATTACGTTGGATAAAATTAAAATTTTACATCTTAAAACTTATACAAATAAAAACATCCATACAGTTGTTTATTACGTGTTGTGTGTTATATTACCAAAATCTTTATTTTATTTGACTATCTCTCCCATATAAATGTTATCACTTCTTATCAATTATACAATCACGAAAACCCGCTTGCTTATTGACGGCAGCGTAAACAGTTCTCGCCTAAAAACGCTGACCTTTGTCGAATCATGCTGTCCATAACTACAATTATATTTCTCATTATCTTTGTACTAGTTATTGCCTTCAAGATTTATATGAAAGTGACGACGGGATGGTGCCGAAGTCATACATGTTTGGTGGGCAAAACTGCAATAGTTACAGGAGCTAATACAGGTAAGTGCGGTTTAGTATAACTTCTAGAAAATTAAAAGTCGTTGTAGGTATCGGTTACGATACGGCTTTAGACTTTGCCAAAAGGGGTGCTCGAGTGATTTTAGCATGTCGAGACGAAGGGCGTGCAGAAGAAGCTCGAGTCAGAATAGTGGAAGAAACTGGCAACAAAAATATTGTGGTACAATTGATTAATATGAGTTCTTTTGAATCGGTGAGAGGGTTTGCGAAGAAGATAAACGAAACAGAGGAGCGTTTAGACATTCTGGTTAACAATGCAGGAGCTGGAGGTATAGGTGACAAGAGGAGTACAGATGGACACGTTTTGCTGATGCAAATTAACTACTTATCTGCATTTCTTCTAACAAATCTTCTTATCGGTTTGTAGAAAATTTGTTATCGTTGTAATTCTATATACATTAAGGATTTAGGACTACTAAAAAAGACTAAAGGAAGCCGAGTGGTCAATGTATCATCGATTGCCGCAAAATACGCCCGTAATTTTGAAGTAGCTGATGTAGATAAGTTCCCAGGAATTTATAGCGTGTACAACTACTCCAAGTTATGCAATATTTTATTCACCATAGAACTTGCGAAGAGATTGGATGGGATTGAAACCACCACGTATTCATTGCATCCAGGGGCAGTGAAGACTGAAATTTTCAGACATGCCAAAGGCACATCAAAATTTATTTTAAATTTTTTAAAAAATTTGTTCTTTAAAGTAAGTGTTCTTTTGGTTTTTTAAATATCGTTAATCGTAAATTTCTACTATTTTACTATCTAGACAAGCGAAGAAGGGGCGCAGACTACAATTTATTGTTCTGTGGCCAAAGATATCGAGAAATATAATGGAGCACATTTTGAGGACTGCCAAGAAGTACCGGCATATATAACTACCAGGGTTCCAGGACTTTCGAAAAAATTGTGGGACTTGACTAAAGACATTGTTGAGCTAAAACCTGAAGAACTATTAATTTAACTGTTTTCAGTATCCGTTTAATTAATGTGTAAGAATAAATGTGATCGAGTCGTTCTTACGAATTATCATTTTAAACAAAGTTCAACCACATTGTCAAAAAAAATATATAAATTTTTCCGCAATATTAATAAAATTTATTATTGTTCCCAAAGTAAGTGCTGAGTAATATCATGTACAAACTGGACCGGACATATTTTAAGAATATCCTGCAGATGTTCAAACGCTAAACAAAGTTGTCTCATTATCCCACCAAAAATTTGATGACGTTATCTCAAAACTTTGCAAAGGAAATCCTATGTAAAATATACTTCTGTTCATGTACCTACCCTATTTTTAACTTTATGCATTTAGGTTTTTGGGAATAAATTCGAAAATTGTACAACACAATTTTATCATTTAACTTAGAAACTACAAAACTGACTACTTTAAAAATGTGCATGCGTCTTAAAGTTATTATAAATCTTACTAAGTCGCTAATCAGAATTCATCTGTTTGTCCTCTTTTAGAAATTGACAATATAATCTCAAAATTTTGCGAAGTAAACCCTATGTACAAAATAATATCCTTCTATACTTTGTTACTTTCTAAGGTTGTCGTGAATATGGTAAATCGGTAATTAGAAATCGATTATTCATCCGTTCCTCGGTGACGTCATTAAAAAATTTTCGAAGGTAAATCAGGCTTGAAATTTATAGTGTATGTTCCTTTATTAGTGGTTTAGTAACATAAGCATATTTTCAAATATACATGTACTTGTTATGGTCACAGCAATAAAATTTGTGAAAAAAAATTAGAAGAAGAATCCTCGAAATGATTTTTTTAAACTTTACGAAGATACTGATTTAATATAATTACAGAAGCACAATTAAAATTTAGTTACTCATCCCTTCCAAAAAGTATATGAAGTTTTTCGAAAATTTTATTAAAATAAAAAAAAAATGCTTCGAGATTCAAGAGGTTGCATTTATTTTAAATTTTTATATAGATCTTTATTAATACATTTTTGTATATATATATAGTATAATAATAATAATAACTTTCTGAATTTTTTCCGAATGTTTAGTAAACACCATTCTTAGAAATACCGTGTAAATTATAAAACGCTAACCTGTGCTCTGCCCTGTGTTGGTTCAAATCTTATCGTTATCGAACTTTTTTTATACGGTGACTAGTATTATCCCTATGTTTTTACTTATAGTTGTTATCATTTAATAAATAAAATTTTGCGGAGTCAAATTTTATAAGTTTTCCAAACAAATGAATTTATTCAATTGTATTTAAGTGTCGAGAGGAGTTCTGTCTAAATAACCTTAGACCAATTTTTAGAACTGTTTATAAAAACTATTTAAAAAAATCTACGAATGAATCAAATAATTTTATTAATTAAAAATTGGTTGTGTAATTCTCCCAAAATTTAGGAAATGCAGTACTATTTCCTTTAATATACGTATAGGCGTCATTATAAAAAATAAATTTATAATTTGTTTAGAAAACTGAAGGTTTGTAAGTCTAGTTTCCAGGTTTTCCGCGAATTTTCTCTTGTTACATTGGATTTTCTAACACATATTATTGTTCAAAAAGGAACAAAGCAAAAATTATGAGTATCGAATTTATATAACATATTTTCGAATATGTCGGAAGCAGAAGTTTTTTTTCACTGCTCTAGAACAAGTTTTTTTTAGACAAACTATGTAAAAAATAAAAATGTCTTCTTAAAAACGTGGAAATAAAATTAGAAAACTTTTGTCTTTAGTAGTCCTTATATTTTTGTAAAATTTAGGATGACTAAAATCAACCTATTTCTAGAAAGGAAAATCTGGATGATGGTAGATCCTAAAGAAACAAACATTAAAAATAAAAAAAAATGTACAATTATCTTACCCTTGATACACAGTAAAATCAACTACTCGAGCTAAGTCTCCCATTTCTAACTTATGCAACATTTTCATTTCATCATCAGTTAAAACAAAGTCAAATACGTTAATGTTTTCTTCAATTCGTTTAGGTGTGGCGCTTTTAGGAATCGTCGCTAACCCCCTTTGCAAAAGAAATCTGAGAGCTATTTGTGCTGGTGTCTTGGAATATTTCTTTCCGAGTTCGATGACTTGAGTGTTCAAGAAAATCTTTGGGAGGTGCGTGGCTCTGGAAACGTCTATGTCATCAACTAACAATCAAACCAATAAAAGACTTGCGGTTTTTCCAGTTTCTTCATAAATTTATTATAGCCTGGGTTAGCCAGAGGGGAGTATGCAGTAACAGTAATCCCATTTTTTTTGCAAAAGTCGACGAGATGATCTTGGTTGAAGAAGATGTGAATTTCCACTTGCAAGTTTGCAGGTTTGATACGTGCCGATTCTAAAACTGTAGTCATTTGAGGGATATTATAGTTCGATAAACCAATATTTTTCGTGCGGTTGGCCTCTACTTGTTCTTCCATTTTCTAAAAACTGAGTTAAGTTCTTTGATTTTTCATATTTAATAATGTACTCGCCAAATCGCTGCGTGATCGGTTTTTTCTTCCATCACGACACGTCCTTTTAAATCTGTCGCATATCTACCATTCATATTTGGTATGTACTTAAAACCAACTGGAAAATGAATCAAGTACAAGTCAACGTAATCCAGTTGCAAATTTTTTAAGGACCGTGTCAAAAACATTTCCACTCGATCGGGGTGTACTCCGATCTTTGGTAATTTAGTGGTGATAAACAAATCATCACGGGACAACTTATTAGAAGAGATCCATTGTTGTAATACGTTTCCTATAAACTCCTCGTTGTCGTACATAATTGCAGTGTCTATGTGACGGTAACCGACTGTCAAAGCTGTATTAATAGTCGTATTAATTTCATTCTCACTTGTTAACTAAATGTGTCGATTAGAATGTGCTGAGATTTCAAAATTGTAGCTTACTTGCCAAGTTCCTATTCCAAATTGTGGCATTTTTTGACCACTAGGCAGTTCTAACGACGGTGGACGAGCAATATTAGAAGAATATTTCCGTAGAGGATACAATATTCTCGACTGCTTTAACAATGCCTTTAATACAGAATTTACCGCGCCCATAATTGAAATGGCGTATTTACTCATGCTGTCGTCCTTAAAATTTTAATAAATCAAAATTATTTGAACGTTTTTTTGAAATTTCTGACGTTTGTTCGTTGACAAAGCTGTCTTTTTGACAAAGTTTGATAACTCGATAGCGTGTGGCGCTGATTGAAAGTAATAAACATTCACGTTCGGGAAAAGTAGCTGACAGAAATTTTTCTGTAGTTAAGGTGCAATCTTAAGATCACTAGAAATTAGAGATTGGCATCAACTGTCTAATTTTCTAATTCAAATGTCAAATCTGAATTGTGTGGAAAAAAACAAGGTTTTTCAATTTTTTTTCTAATTTCAACACGCTTCGTTTCAAGAAAATCCTTAAATACACTTGGTTACCAAAGTTGGAATTTTATGCAGTTTTGATTTAAAGAAAGTTGTAATTATTGAAAAAAAAACAGTTATTTTTGTGTACTTTTTGTTTAGCAAATCTCTAATTAACATTCTTTAAAATTGCTTAAACAAACAAAAAATAAAAACTTTTACGTTAGGAAACGAAGGTTTGTGATTGTAGATAGCAAAAAAATGCTCTACAATTACTTAGATAGAACTTCTTTGGCATCTGGAGTACAACCAGTTCAACAAATTCAATTTCTTAGAAAAGTGATAAAATTTGATTTTACAAGTTCTGTTTTTCTATGATATGGGTTTATGAATATACACAGTTTTATTCAACATATTATTTAAATATCGTTTGCTAAGCAAAATTTTGAAATGACGTTATCAAATTTTTGATAGGTATGATCGGACAAATGTTTGGTTAACGTTTTATCATCTAAACTCTACACGATATTTATAGAATAAGTATATCTAAAATTTTGTAACGATTTCGGATATTACGCGTCCAATAAAATCTCAAACAGATAACACGGGCACCCACTTTTTCAAATTTTTGTAATTATAAAACGTCGAGAAAACATGAAACTAGCCAGTAATCAAATGGAGTCTATTAAAATATTACTTACTTCGTTTTCTGGAAGTAAAGAGAAAGACTTTCAATCAGCTTAATCTTAAGTGTTTAATAATATTTTAACCATGAGTTGTTATTGAATATGGGATAACTTTTATCTAGTTTCTTTTTATGTAGCTATAGACTTTATTCTGAGGTACCTAAGACGCCATATATTATTGATTACTAATTACGTTTTCATGCCCTAAATTTTGAATGTGTGCATTTATAAATGAAAATAAAATGTAAATGTGTTGGAAATGTTTCCTTCTGTATTCTCGTCACAGAAATAGGATTGTTGTAATAAATTTTCACGTGTCATAACAACCTGAGATTTTCCACAATCGTGACACATTATAGCACCTATAGATCATCTGTCTGTCTTACACGGTGGTATCTTATTTATTTAAGTGCGTACATTTGTCTTTTGCATATGCTGAAAAATGTTCTAGGTATGTTCTTGAAATTTACGATATTTGCCAGATTCTTTCAATATTTTCGCGTATGTAAATACTCTTATAAATTAAAGCCAACATAAAATAACTATTATTTTTAAAGATACATCTTTATTAAACAAAAAATCTTAGCCATGCAGTTACGTACAAAATAAGGTGGTTATTGTTGCTACAGAGGAAAGTCGGGATGCTTTTCCATCCTACAAAACGAGCATTCAAAATTGAATTTAAATACAAAGTTAACTTACCCTTTGTACAGTTTAAAATCAGCCAATCGCGCCGCTTCTCCCACTTCTAAACTCTGTAGTGTTTTCATGTCCTCATCGTCTATATTAAAATCAAACACGTTTATATTCTCTTCGATTCGTTTTGGGGTAACACTCTTAGGAATTGCCGCAACCCCCATTTGCAGAAGAAATCTCAAAGCTATCTGAGCAGGAGTTTTCGAATACTTTTGTGCAAATTGTACAACTGTTGGATTGTTCAAGAGGTCTGGTAGTTTTTTCGGTCTACAACACCACCACTCAAGACAAATATGAGAAGTTTAAACACTTACTCATGTCCAAGTCTCTGTAGAAATTTATTAAAACCGGGGTTTGCTAATGGACAGTACGCCACCACAGTGATTCCTTTTTTCTGGCAAAAAGTGACAAGTTCAAGTTGTTGTAAATAAATGTGGAGTTCGACTTGAAGATTAGCGGGTTTTATTCTAGCCGACTTCAAGACTGTGGTGATCTGAGAGATGTTATAGTTTGACAAACCTATGTTATTTGCTCGTCCGGCATCAACTTGTTCCTCCATTTTCTAAAACATTGTGAAAATAACTATGTTTTGAGTGTTTATATGAGTCAGTACCCTCCAGACAGCTACGTGATCTGTTTTCGGTTCGGTCGCAATTTCTCCATTTTCCAGATATGGTCGTACGATTCCCTCTCTAAATTTGCAACCGACAGGAAAGTGTATCAAGTACAAATCCACGTATTCCAGTTGGAGATTTTCTAAAGATTTCTTCAAGAACATCTCCACACGATCTGGGTGGACTCCAACCATAGGAAGCTTTGTTGTGATAAATAAATCTTCTCTTTTCACTTTTCCGGAAGATAACCACTGCTTTAAAACTCGTCCAATAGCACATTCGTTTTCGTATAGGAATGCTGTGTCAATGTGACGGTAACCAAGTTCTAGGGCTGTATTTAGCGCAGTTTCAATTTCTTCATCGTTTCTTGCCTGTGGTCATTCCGAAGAGAAATATATTTAAGTTTTTAAATTTTTACTTACTTCCCAGGTTCCAAGACCGAGTGCTGGCATTTCCTGACCATTTGGAAGAGTCAAAAATATTTTTGCTGCCATATTTGTCACTTCTCTACAACAGTTTTCATAGAGCTTAAAAAACACACCTCTTTGTGAAGTGAAAAGGTCAGATTAAATTCCAACGCTGAGCTAAATCGATAGGTTTGTTTATGTAATTTATCTTTGTTTTATTGCGCAATACATTCCAAGTATAAAATTAAAATTATATCTTTAACAATGTAGTTGTAGAGATATATTTATATATATGATGGTGCTTGTAGTTTTGGATAACTATGTTACAAGTAATATTTTTAAATGCCTTATGTATGACCAAGGTCTCACATTATCGGGCATACTTGTAAATGATACGTTTGGGATAAACATAAAAAAGTAAACAACTGTAGATATTATGTGTAATAAAAATCGGTAAATGTTACAACAGGTGTTCGATATGATTTACTATCATTTTTTGGTATCGTTATCGCCTGTGCTACCTCCCTCTCTTGAAAACGGATAGTCTGGATGTTTGTGAACCCTAAAATCAATGTTCAGACAAGACTATCTCAAAACAACAACAAATTTACTCACCCTTTGAGTACATCAAACCCGACAAGCCGTCCTGCTTCTCCCCTATCCAGTCCATCTAAAACCTTCATGTCACTTTCGTCCAAATTAAAATCAAAAATGTTGACATTTTATTCAATTCGTTTTGGTGTAACACTTTTTGGAATTGGTGCTACACCTATTTGCACAAGAAACCTCAAAGCGATCTGCGCTGGAGACTTTGAGTGTTTTTGTGCAATTTTGGCGACTTCTGGATCACCCAAGAGGTTGGGAAGTTGTATGGGTCTAAAGAGCGAACAATGACTTACGAAATTACAGAATATAAAAACTTACTGTTGTCCTAGCCGCACTAAAAATTTGTTGTAACCAGGGTTAGCTACAGGGCAATAGGCGACAACTGCAATTCCGTTTTTCTTGCAAAAATCTACGAGTTCACGTTGTTGTAGATATGCATGAAGTTCCACTTGTAAATTGGCTGGTTTGATCCTTGCGGATTTGAGAACTGTGCTGATTTGGGTGATGTTGTAATTTGACAAACCAATGTTTTTGGCACGTCCAGCGTCTACTTGTTCTTCCATTTTCTACAATTTGTTCAGAATTATGAATTAGATGTTTATCTAGCGTCAAAACCGTACCTTCCAGATAGCTACATGGTCCGTTTGCGGTTCAAAGACAGTTTCACCATTTTCGTTAGCATAAGGATGCACGCTTCCTTCCTTAAATTTGCAACCAACAGGAAAATGGATCAAGTACAAATCGACATAATTTAGTTGTAAATTTTGTAGTGATTTTTTGATAAATATTTCTACGCGATCTGGATGGACTCCAACCGTCGGCAGTTTTGTGGTAATAAACAAATCTTCTCTTTTGAGTTTTCCAGAAGATATCCATTGCTTTAGTACTCGTCCAATAGCGTTTTCGTTTTCATAAGCGGCAGCTGTGTCTATATGACGATAACCAAGTTGGAGAGCAGTATTAAGAGCTGTTTCAATTTCGTTGTCATTTGTTGCCTAAGTAGAACAACGTTTGTAGATGTAGGTGATGCATTATATTTAAATGATACTTACTTCCCACGTTCCTAGTCCAAGTGCTGGCATTTTCTGACCACTTGGTAGAGTTAACGAAATTTTTGCTGCCATGGTAACTGTGAAAATTTAATTACAGCCAGGAAATAGCGCTGCACGTACAAATGCACTTTGCGAATATATATCTGCGGTTAACATTGTATTTTTAAAATTTTATTTATCAGCCATACACATATTGCAAATTATTGTGCAATAGTTTTGCTTGCTTTGATTGGAGATCCTCTTACGCTACAGTTATAATTGGTTTAGTATCGGCAGAGTTTGGCACAGCCGAAGAGATGGACAAATATTAAAAACGACGGCGCGACGTTAGGCGATAAATTTGGCTGGCCGACTATGCAGTCTCAGTGGCGTTTGATTCAGTTTAGGGTTATTACGAAAATTGTGATGCTGAACACTCATTTTTGATTTTTAAAGCATTTTAGCATCTAGGAGAACTGGTTTAAGTGAGGAAAACCTAGAAAAAGTAGTAATTGTTATTAAGAATACCTGAAGTTGTAGGCCACGACTGCAATAGCGCTGGCGATCACTTCCACAATGCCGAAGTTTGATTATTATCAGTATGGAATTATTTGAATGAAATAGCTTAATCAATTAGTTCTTTCTTTTTCCTTTCAAATTTAATTTTCTTTTAACACAAATGAATATTTTGATTTGTCGCCGCTGATGTTGGTTATGTGAACATGCTAATAGTAGAATTATTTCAAACTATATATAAATATAAATAAACAATCGAAGTTAAGCATGCACTGTCAGAATGAAATTTTCCTCGTTGGTCATCTGCTTTAAATCTATTTCATATTATCCGCACTTGTGCGAATCGACCCCACTATGTGGGTGTTATTTATAGTATTGGTTTTTACTTTATAATAATAAATGAGTTAATAATAATAGAGTTTATTGCCCACACAGGATACAAAATACCAAAATAGGACAAGTAGATATAAAAGAATGCGTATATAAACTAAAAACATAAATAACAAATATAAATAATAATTATAACTATAACTAATAAGTATTCAATGATAAACGGAAGCGCTCTTTGTTATTATTTATCTAATTTCTATTAAATAATTTTACAATATACTGCAAGCTGTCACAAAAAATATCGCAGCTGTTACAGATTTTATTAAAGTTGCTGCAACATATACTTAAAGGGGATTTTCTTAAAATTAAAGTCTTATTAGGTGGATTATAAAAAATATTATGCTTTTTTGTACGTACTGGGGGGACATGTATTGGAATAAGCGATAACAGGACTGGACATTCAAAGTGAAAATTAACTATCTTATACAAAAATGTAACAGAGGCTTGATCACGTCCTACATCTAATGGCAACACATGAAAACGGCTTAATAATAATGAATGCTCACTTCCCTTGGGGGGATAAAAACCATCAAGTTTAAATGCAATCAATTTTAAAAACTTACGTTGGACTGACTCAATACATTTGATTTGATTTTTAAAGATTGGATACCATATGACACTGCAGTATTCCAGTCTTGATCTTACTAGAGAATAATGTAAGATTAGTAGGCTATTATTGGTATTTTCGAAATCTCGACAGTTTCGCCAAATAAAACCTAAAACTGAATGCGCAGCAGATGTAATTTTATTGATGTGCTCTAAAAAGGTTAATGTAACATCAAACGTGACACCTAAATCACTTATCACGAGGCTACCGGTTATTGATATACCACTAATTCTACAATCAGTGTGAACAATTTTTTTCTTTCTGGTGAAGGACATAATGTAGCATTTGTCTCTATTAAGATATAACTTATTGGTTTCACATCACATATTAATTACATTTAAGTTGTGTTGTAGATCCCTGCAATCGTTGACGTAACAGATTTTATTGAATATTTTCAGATCATCAGCAAATAAAGCTTTAAGACATTTTAAAAGTGGGAATAGATCATTAATAAATATAAGAAAAAGTAGTGGCCCCAAATTAAAACCTTGGGGGACTCCTGATGTAATTTTAAAAGATGGAGATGTGCACTTTTTGTACATAATTACTTGTTTATAGGGATGTACCGACTAGTGGCCGACCGGTCGGATAAGCCGACTAGTCGGCCGTTTTTCATCGTCGGCTGGCAGTCGGCGACTGGTCGGCTAAACAGCCGATCGGTCGGCTTTTTTTATTAAAATTAAAATAGTATAAAAAACAATTAAACCCGGTTTACAAAACCTGAATTAAATATTTAATTGCGATTTAATTTTTAACCCCGCGTTAAAGTGCCATGTGACCGACTCTACGCCAATCAGACGTCGCTAATGGGCTTGTTAAATGCGCGATCAACTTAATCTCGGTTATTAAAATATTGTATAAACTGGCCATAAATTGTGTTATTTTTTATTTTTGTACTGAGTTACTAAAAAAAAATTAAATGTCAAAGTTATCCAAACAAATTTAACAGATTTTTTGGAAAACAAAGGAACTTTAGTTATTCCTTTTATTAAAATAAAATAAATTTTTAAGGTAGTCAGAGAAATAGAAAAAAAACACACTGTCTGTCGCATTTATAAACCGGTTTTAGCAAAGCCGAACAGTCGGCCGACTAGTCGGTTTTTACTGGCCGAACAATCGGCTAGTCGGTTAGTTGGCCAGACCGACAGTCGGTACATCTCTACTTGTTTACGATTAAAAAGATATGATGCAAAAAGATTACATAATGAATTCGAAAACCCAAAGTTCTGTAGTTTTTGTAAAAATATGTAAAGATCAATTTGATCAAAGGCTTTTTGTATATCTGTGTAGATCACGTCTACTTGTCTCTGAGAATCTAAAATTTCGGAGACATATTGTGTAAAATAAGCAAGATTTGTCGCAGTGGATCTCTTTTACATGAAACCATGTTGATCAGAAGAGATTTTATTGTTAATCTGCTTAAATAAGTATCCATAGAGAACAGATTCGAATAATTTAGATACATGGGATAGAATTGCCAGGACAAACTTTCGCTTTCTTCCAAACGTTTGGGGAAATAGATGTCTTCAGAATCAAATTAAAAATGTGTAACAATGGCTCTGCAAGAACTTGATCGCAATCTTTCGGAATGAAAATAGGAATATTGTCGAAGCCAAAAGATTTATTATTTTTTAGGTTTTTAATCCCAAGAAAAATATCTTCAAGATGAAAAATATCAACTTTTACATTTAAATGCCCTTCCTCATTATAAGAAAAAACCGAAGTATTAGCATTCTTTGGATCTGAATCAACATAAACACTGCAAAAATAATCTTTAAACGCGTTTAATATGGCATCAGCCGTCAAAAGATCTTTGCCATTATAATGCATTAAACCTGGAATTCTCGGTTGCCCATTTTTTTCACGCACAAAGTTCCAAAAACTTGATGAATCTTCACATAGAAGAAATGACTCACACTTTTTCATATGAGTTTTATAGAGTGAGTTGATTTGTTTCTTAACTAAATTCTGAGATCTTTACATTTGCTACAATAATATTCTGTTTTAGATTTCTTATATATTTTGTGAGCCTTTTGCTTCTTTTTAATGAGTTTTATTAAATTCTTAGTGAACCACATAGAATATACCCTATTAGATTTTTGCACACGTTGAGGAACAATACGTTCAAATATGGAGTAAACTAAGTTGTAAAAAATACTGCAACAATTGTTTAGATTGTCATATTGCTTTACTATAGACCAATTTGTATGAAGAAACAAATCGTACATCATGACAAAATTAGGTTTCGAAAAATTGTAACTGCTGAAACTAAAATCTGGCGAGAAATTAACACTAATGCGAGAGATAGTAGAAGAGTGAACTGTTATTAACAAAGAAGGATGATGTTTATCTTCAGGTACCAATGCATGATCGCCTTTAGATAGATCACATTTAATGTTACTTAGAACTAGATCTAAGGTACGACTATTATAATTGACTACATTATTAAATTGCGAAAAATTAACGTACTGTTGAAAACTGTACAAAGTTCTACTTTTTGTCTCATCTTGATTAATATTATATAATGGAACATTAAAATCACCTATTATTATTACATAGTGAGAACTAGAGTTGATATAACTACAAGTCTCAAGACTCTAAAAATTCTTCAAAATCTTGCAGACTAATCTTTGGTGGAATATATACAGCAATGATATGCAGTCTCTTTTTAGTATTGCACTTAACCTTACAGGCCACGATGTCAATTATACGCGAAATATTTTGCCGTAAAGATGTCAAATCTATTGGACTTACTGTAGCAGAGTTTTTAACGGCAATTAGAACACATCCACCTCGTTGACATTCAGATGTATAGTCACGATCACACCTGTAAACCTGATACACTGTAGGAAATAATTCGGAATTTTTTATGTCTTGCGTTAACCATGTTTCACTAAGTACGATATACGGATGATCGTCACACAAAACTGAAATATAGAAGCTCACCAGTTTGGAAGTCCGCGAACGTTTTGGTAGTTAGTACTCTTGTGCAACGTCTTTAGCGCAGCCAATGTTCAAACGCACTTGTTTATTTTCGCCTATGTTTTCATTTGTTTTATGGGTTGTTTCACCAAGGGAAAAATTGATGTTTTTTTTTCATGGGTCGTTTTTGAAAATATCTTGAAATATACGTTCCCTGGGGCCATCTATCAGCATCCATAACTTTATCTTTATTAAGAAGGTCGACTGTTATTTTGTAAGACGAATAGTGTTCAAGGTATTCGAATAGAACGGATTCGCATGTTACTTCCGGGAAATCCGCTTTTAAAAAATTAACTACTTGATCAGAGGTAGTCTCGGAACTAAGCCGGTATATAGAAGAATGCTTTGTTAGCAATAATTACTTCCCGGTCTATTCCTGATTCATCATTATCTTCGAATGAAGAATCTTCTATATGATACAATACTTCTTTTATTTCTGTATCTGCGAATGATTTCGGTAAAGGTCTATTATCACTTCCTCGGCGCATATTTACATATGTAGAAGGAGTTGATCGGTCCGTAAAAACCTTGAAAACATTATCTCTCGTTATCGATTTATTGAACTTATCCACCGTTTTTGTAAGATTCCGACTATCGAAGAATGAAGATCGGCAATTTTCAACCATACTCTCCTTCGGCATAGGGTCGAGCGACGGATTTAATTTGAATTTAACAAATTCTAGCTTAAGAGCACTTACTTCATTTTGAAGGCTCAAAATTAATGCATTTTGTGTCGTAATCAAGAATTTGCAGTTTGTTAACTCCTCAATTAAGAAGGGAAACTATCTTGACAGTTGCACTGGATTGTAAATTGACTCAAAAAATCAGCCAAACACTGGTTAACAACACCATGTAGATTCTTAGTAGTGTCCTTTTTAACTTTTGGACCCATTATGAATATAAGATAAGTAATGGACTCGCCGCTACCAACGCAGCAAAGAAAAGTCTATAGAGGTAGATAGAGAAAACAAAAATTGTAAAATCAAATTTTATAATTTGTCAAAGAAGCCGGTTCGTTGGACTGTACTGGACGAGGAAAGTTTTTTTTTTTTAATGTATATGAAGTATATATTTATCACATACGTTTCAGCACACAAAATCTTAAACCTAATTAACATGTCGTCGAATGGTTTTCATGAATAAAATAATAAGTCGCTAATGTATATTTTATATTTATAATTTATTACTATCAAATGCTAGATTTCCATGAAGTTCTATGTATTTTCATATCGTGTGAACAAGATCTACTGATACGAAGTGAAAAGGTTAGATTAAAATATGCTGAGTAAGATGTAGGTACTAACGTTTTTTCTCTCGTAAAATGATATTTTGCTTATGAATAATTTTGTTATATTGTGACACTGATTTAGTGTTAAGTTGTTCCGCATCTGGATATTCTAATTTTTTGAAATAACTTCAATATAAACGTCGTAGTTCTCTCTTTCTATTTCCTGAAAATAGCCATTGGTTTAGAATACGTACACTAGGGTGTTTGTTTTCGCATAGAAATGTAGGTATTTCCTGACTCTTTGGGAGAATTATAGATATTTTTGCTGTCATGTTTGTCATTTCTCTAAGCTTATATTCAGTAGAATGGTTTTTCATTATAAGAACTGAGAAGGTCAGATTAAATAAATACCGTTGAGCCAGATCGATTAGTTTATTCATGCAATTATTTTTTTTATTGCGTAATGCATTCCAAGTACATAACTAAAGTTATATCTCTAACAAGGTTGACACATATTTGAATGCATATTTCATTTTAAATCTTTCTGTATGTTAATAAAATTTGGAAGTGTCATATAGGTAGTTGATCAAGTCCAATGTTCTCACTACTTGGAAGTGATACGTATAAGATAAAAATTTAAAAAACTGGTCGAAGGGTATCCAATATTAATAATAACAGTATTGTTTCCAAATTTTCGGGAAAATGGAGTGACCCGTTCTTGGTTTAATCCGTAAAATAAATTGATTTTTTGAGACACCCTGTATAAGCAATTCTAAAATATATTAATGAAATGGTAATTCACAAGTGTAAACTAATCATATTTTGCACAATTTAGGTAGGATTTATTTGACAAAATTTTGGATGACGCCATCAATTTTTTGGGAGGGGTAAAGGAATAAATTTTGTTTAACAATTTACCATCATTGCGATAATCTTAAAACGTTTGAAAAATTTCAAAGCATTCGGTTTCGCAGTTTCAACTTAAATTGCAAAATGTTGTCATGCAATTGTGATTCTTTTTCCAAAAATCTGGATGTCTAGGGTGAAACTCAACACAAATTCATTCAACACAAGTACAAGAGTATCTTATTTTATAATTGAAAAAAAAATAGTATTGTAAATTTTGGAGATTACGTCAGTCCATTGGTGGTGGGGATGATTAGCCAAATTTTGGTGCATGATATTCCTAATGTTTAAAATTTGACAATAATTGGTCGAATAGTTTCGGAGATTATCTAATAAAAATTCTCACAGACAGACGATGGAAACGGAAGACCTATTTCTTCGTACTCTAGGGGTCATGAAAGGTCGAGAAAACATACAATGTGTAAACTATCATCTATTATATTGTATAAATAGGTAAATTTTACAATTTTTTATGTCTAGATATGCTCAGTTATTTTGTTGCGATCGCCCATGTTCCCTAACAGTCTCACGCTTTCGAAAATGGAAAATCTGGATGTTTGTCAAGCCTGAAAAACAATGTTCAGACAAACTGTTTTAAAGCAAACTATTTTCACTCACCCTTTGAATACCTCAAATCCGGCAAGCCGTCCTGCTTCTCCCTTGTCCAGTCCAAGCAAAATCTTCATATCCCCTTCGTCCAAATTAAAATCAAAAATACTGATATTTTCTTCAATTCGTTTTGGTGTCACGCTTTTTGGAATTGGTGCTGCACCAATTTGTACGAGAAACCTCAAAGCGATCTGCGCTGGAGACTTTGAGTGTTTTTGTGCAATTCTGGCGACTTCTGGATCGCCCAATAGGTTGGGAAGTTGTTTGGGCCTAAAATCGGAACGGTGACACGAGATTGGACAATATAAAAACTTACTGTTGTCCCAATCGCACTAAAAATTTGTTGTAACCTGGATTCGCTATGGGACAATAGGCAACAACTGTAATTCCGTTTTTCTTGCAAAAATCTACGAGTTGACGTTGTTGTAGATATACATGGAGTTCGACTTGCAAATTAGCTGGCTTGATTCTTGCGGATTTGAGGACTGTGGTGATTTGGGAGATGTTGTAGTTTGATAAACCTATGTTCTTGGTGCGTCCTGCGTCTACTTGCTCTTCCATTTTCTGAAATAAACACCAAAAGTGCAAACTGATTTTTGTGAACAAAATAATTCGGTACCTTCCAAAGGGCCGCGTGGTCTGTTTTCGGCTCAAGAGCAATTTCCCCATTGTCGTTAAGATAAGGCCTCACGGTTCCTTCCTTAAATTTAGCACCAACAGGAAAATGAATCAAATACAAATCTACATAATCTAGTTGAAGACTTTCGAGTGATTTTTTAATAAACATTTCTACACGATCTGGATGAACTCCAACCATTGGCAGTTTTGTGGTAATAAACAAGTCTTCTCTTTTGAGCTTTCCAGAAGATATCCATTGCTTTAGCACTCGTCCAATTGCGGCTTCGTTTTCGTAAACGAAAGCTGTGTCTATGTGACGGTAACCAAGTTGTAGAGCAGTATTAAGAGAGGTTTCAATTTCTTCGTCGTTTCTTGCCTAAACAGACAAGTTTGTAGAGGTGGAGGTGACCGCGTGTGTTTAAATTGTACTTACTTCCCATGTGCCTAGTCCAAGTGCTGGCATTTTTTGACCACTTGGTAGAGTCAACGAAATTTTTGCTGCCATGTTAACGTGCGAAAATGTGATCACAGACACGAACTATCGTTGATTGTTCAAACGCAGTTTGTGAATTTGCACTTTCTAAGTTTTCAAATATATATAAGTAGATAGGTATACTGCAGACCTTCATGTTACAATGAAGGTCAGATAAAAGTCGAGTGGGTAAGCATGGCTGATTTGTTTACATGAGTTATCAGTTCTACATACATTGCTACTTATTGTGCAATAACTCGGTCTACCGTAATTATGTTGCAGCTATAATTGATTTATTATCATTCTGGAATTACTTGAATGAAACACGTAATTGCGTTAACTGAGGTAGATGGACTTTTGTCTCTACATTGCACTTTGTTGCTTTACAAGTTCTCAACAAAAATGTTAAATATTACACAGATTTATTAATGTTCGGTTATATTTACCTACTTACTTACATAATTCTGTACAATCATATGACATTGTATTATATTTTTATTTTTTTAATGTTGTATGATTGTCACTACTCCTGGCGTAATAAAGTTTTGCCACAAAAACTACTCGTGCCTAATCAATATTACGCTGAATATTGAAATGAATAAAATAATTAATTTATATTTTTCTTTAGATAATCATCAGCAATTAATAAACATGGCGTTGTGACGATCAGGTTTAGGGTAAACATATAAATAACAACTTTGCAAAAGCGATATATTCAATGCCATCACGACAATTAATATAACAACGTATTTATAATTATTAGTCATCTTGATGAGTTTTACCTTGCAGTTTCACTCTTCTGGAAAAGGATAATCTGGGTGTTTATCAACCCTGCAACCAGACAATGAATCCAAACAAACTGAAAATCATCTTTTGTCACCTACCCTTTAAATATTTCAAATCTGGCCATTCGTGCTGGTTCTCCCTTATCTAGTCCGCGCAAAATCTTCATATCACCCTCGTCCAAATTAAAATCAAAAATACTAATATTCTCTACAAGTTGTTGCCGTATTACACTTTTTGGTATCGGTGCTACACCTATTTGTACAAGAAACCTCAAAACGATCTGTGCTGGCGATTTTGAGTGTTTTTGAGCAATTTTGACAACTTCTGGATCGCCCAAGAGATTGGGCATTTGTTTGGGTCTAAAATAGCAGCAATGTCATACAAGATTAAATAATATTAAAACTTACTCTTGTCCTATTCGCGTTAGGAAATTATTGTAACTTGGATTAACTAAAGGAAAATAGGCAACATTTGCAATTCCATTCTTTTTGCAAAAATCTACGAGTTCGCGTTGTTGTAGATATACGTTAAGTTCTACTTGTAAACAGGCTGGTTTGATCCTTGCGGATTTGAGAACTGTGGTGATTTGGGAGATGTTGTAGTTTGACAAACCTATATTCTTGGTACGTCCGGCATCAACTTGCTCTTCCATTTTCTGAAATATAGCCAAAAGTGCAAATTTGATTTTTCTATAAAAACTAAGTGGTACCTTCCAAAGAGCCACATGGTCTGTTTTTCCTTCGACTGCAGTTTCACCGTTTTCTTCAAGATAAGGCCATCCAGTTCCTTCTTTAAGTTTGCAACCAACGGGGAAATGGATTAAATACAAATCTACATAATCTAGCTGCAGACTTTCTAGTGATTTTTTCATGAACATCTCTACACGATCTGGATGGACTCCAACCATTGGAAGTTTGGTTGTAATGAATAAATCTTCTCTTTTCACTTTTCCGGAAGATATCCATTGGTTTAGCGCACGTCCAATGCCGTTTTCGCTGTCGTAGACGAAAGCAGTGTCTATGTGACGATAACCAAGTTCTAGAGCTGTATTGACAGCAGCTTCGGTTTCTTCATTTGTCTAAAAATATTTGTTAAATACAGGAGTGGACTAAATATTGACATCGACTTGAACTAATAATTTATTTTTGGAACACTTTTCTCATAACGGTTTCGAAATATATTTAATTTTAAAATATACAGGTAGTAGATGAAAGTGTAGGTGATTCTACTGTACTTACATCAAAGGTCCCTAGTCCGAGTCCGGGCATTTTTTGACCACAAGGTAGTGTTAAGTATATTTTTGCTGCCATACTAGCGTTAGGGTAAAATTTAGTCACAAGTACGAATTATCGCTGCAAGTACAAACTTAGTTTGTGAATATGATAGAATTATAAAAGTTTCGAAATATATATATATATAGGTAAACAGGTACCTTTTTATATTATGGTGAAGGTCAGATAAAAGTCGAGTGGCCAAGTACCATAGATTTGTTTTCAATTTGATTTATCGATTATATTTAGATTACTAATTATTGTGCAATAGTTTTGTTTACATTAATTCGGCGTTCTCATATGCTGCTACTTCGAAACTAACTATACCTAACCAATATATCGTATTTAAATTTTAGATGATTTTTATGAATAAAATAATCTAATAATGTACATTTCATTTATATAATTATCAAGTACTAGATTTCCATGACGTATGACTTTTCACACATGTGTAAACACAATTCCCCAGATATGAGGTGAAGAGGTTTAGATAAAAATGTGCTGAGTAAGGTAAAAATAAGTATCTATTTATATAATTTATCTTTCTTTCATAATACATTTCAAAGGAACATTGTGTGTACAGTAATATAATATATAATCAGTATATAATTAGCTTTTCGCTCGCGTGGACCATTTTTTGGTTTGAAGAGCATTATTATCAAGTTGAAATTTGAAGAGCATTTGTACTGGAAATCGCCATAAAAATTGTTTTTCCAATACAAACTTTGTCACCCGATTGCGAAAAATTCTGAAATGTGTGTTTAATTTTTTGTGTTGAAGAGTATTAATACCAAGTTCCACGTAAAAATTTACAATAGAAATATTTTTGTCATTTCGCCACCACTTTCACCCCATTACGGGTTGAATCTCGGAAAATGCTTAAATATGGGTTTTATTAGTTATGTTGAAGAGCATTAATATCAGGTTTTAAGTAAACGTTACCATAAAAATACTTTTTCACATGCACACCCTTAGGGGATGAATTTCGAGAAATCCCTTTTTAAACGATGCGCCCTATATAAAATGAACATCCTCTCCAAATTTCTATCATTAGCGGTTTGGGCTGGTCGTTGGTAGGTCAGTCAATCGGGACATTGCCTTTTTTATAGTATAGTAATAAATTATATACTTACTTAAAATTCGGTTTAGTTGAAAAGCAACTATTAAAGTGTGGTGGTACTGATTTAGTGTTAGGTAGGTAGTTCAATATCTGGATATTATTATTTTATAATGTCGCTTAAAATTAATATCGTTAAAATAATGTGTTATAATATTAATGAAATTGTAAACGTGAGGTGTTGGTTACACACATAAATAACAATTTTATGAAAAAAATATCTTTAATATCAATGATACAAAGTACTAAAATTATTAGCCACAATGATCAGTTTTAGCTGATATTCTTACGCTTCTGGAAAAGGAAAGTCTGGGTGTTTATCAACTCTGTAACCGAACAATGAAACAAAACAATCCTGGAACCAATTTTTTTCACTTACCCTTTAAACAATTCACACCTAGCCATCCGTGCTGCTTCTCCTTTGTCTAATCCGCGCAAAATCCTCATATCCGCGTCGTCCAAATTAAAATAATAAACATTGATGTTCTCTTGAAGTTCTTTCAGTATTACACTTTTTGGTATTGGTATTATACCTGTTTGTACAAGAAATCTCAAAACGACCTGTGCTGGGGACTTCGAGTGTTTTTGTGCAATTTTGATGACTTCTGGATCGCCCAAGAGATTGGGCATTTGTTTAGGCCTAAAATAGAAAAAATGAAACACAAATTTAAACAATATAAAAACTTGCTTTTCTCCTATTCGCGTTATAAAGTTGTTGTAACCTGGATTAAGTAAAGGAAAATAGGCAATAACTGCAATTCCGTTCTTTTGGCAAAAATCTACGAGTTCACTTTGTTGTAAATATACATTAAGTTCGACTTGTAGGGCGGCTGGTTTGATTCTTGCGGATTTGAGAACTGCCGTGATTTGGGAGATGTTATAGTTTGACAAACCTATGTTCTTCGTGCGTCCAGCGTCAACTTGCTCTTCCATTTTCTGAAAAATAACCAAAAATGCATATGCAATTTATCTATAAACATTAAGTGGGTACCTTCCAAAGGGCCGCATGGTCTGTTTTTGGCTCGACAGCAGTTTCACCATTTTCGTAAAAGTAGGGCCATGGATTTCCTTCCTTCAATTTACAACCAACAGGGAAATGTATCAAATATAAATCTACATAATCTAGTTGTAGATTTTCTAGTGATTTTTTCATAAACATCTCTACACGATCGGGATGAACACCAACCATCGGTAGTTTTGTAGTAATGAATAAATCTTCTCTTTTGAGTTTGCCGGATGATATCCATTGATTTACTACCCGTCCAATAGGGCGTTCGTTTTCGTAGAGAAAAGCCGTGTCTATGTGACGATAACCAAGTTCCAAGGCTGTATTGAGAGCTGCTTCCATTTCTTCGTTATATGCCTGAGGGAGGTAGATACTTTGAGGTCCCAAAATTTGAATCAGCAATTATATCTATATTTAAAATATGTGTGGCTAAAATAGAATTTTAGAACACACCTTCAAAAAAAGTTTGAAAGTTAAATTATAAAATTGGTGTATTTGACATGATAAATGTAGGTGCAGGTGATTTACTTTTGGAAACTTACATCGAAGGTTCCTAGTCCAATTGCTGGAATTTTTTGGCCACTTGGTAATGTCAAGTAAATTTTTGTTGCCATGATGACTGTAAGCGAAAGTGAATTACAAGCGCGAACTATTGGCTCAAGTACCAACGCAGAGTCTGAATATGTACGGCCGATTTTAGTTTTTAAATGTACATATAGTTAGAAATATATATAGGTAGTCCGATATACTGTAGTTTTCCATGCCAGGGTGAAGGTCAGATAAAAGTCGAGTGGGTTAAGTACTGCAGGTCTGTTTATGTCTGGCTTATCAACTATAGAGATGTGTATGTATTGCTAAATATTATGTAATAGTTCTCTTTGTGTTAAGTGCAGAGTGGAGATTCTTTTATGCTGCAGCTATAACTGACTCATAATCATAATGGAATTATTCGAATGTACTACACACATTTAGGTGAACTGAATCTGAATAACATTATAAAAAATACTGTTAACTACTGAAATGATGTTTGTTTTTTGAGATGGATAAAAATGATAAAATAAAGTTTTGATAAATTATTTTTTTAAGAGGAATTATTTTTGTTGAATGTTATTATAACCTTTAGGGCATACACTGTGCACGAAAAAAATTCAGATATATGATGTCGTAATTTTGTTGTATCACTTTCATTACAAAGAAAAACTACACAAACAGTCCTTATTTTATAAATCTTCTTATTCTTATTAAGCAATTAATAGATACAATATGAGGTAACCTTAAAAGGATATATCAATTTTTAACTATGTAATTTTTGCTGAGCTATGATTTCATTATGTTGATATTGTATATGTACAGGGATTAGAAATACCTTGGAGTTGCAGTTTTGGTTGATACTATGAACAACTATGAATTAAACACCTTTTGATATTGATATTATTCAAAAATTGCTCGCTTAGACTTAAGACTAAGTTGCAGATGAAAATTTACTGTTATAAAATAATGTTTTTCATTAGAAATTTTGGTCCATTTCCTGAACGAAGATTTTTTCAGCTACTTCAGAATTGTGTAACTCTTTGAGTAAGCTCTTTGCCTTAAAATAGTCCACACACCCTAATCCATTGGGTTAAAGTCGGGAGAGAAAGGTGGTCATTCTAAAATCATAAAGATGGTTCCGACACCATTGTTGTGCTAATTTAGTTTCAAGCATCGACGCAGAATCATGTTGAAAAATCCATTGCTAATTAATTAGTGAAAGCTCTAGTCCAAGAAAGTACCAAGGCGTCTAGGAAGAATGAGCTGACCATATTCTATAATTTTGTTTGTTGTATGATTGTACAATGATGAATTGCTTTTCATCAGTGAGGAAGCGTAAGATTAAGTTGATTCTTGATTGTTTTTTGAACAGATTAACGGCCTATGTAAGTTATTCCACCTAATTTTATAGATACTGATTTAGTGTTAGGAGATTGTGCATCAGAGGTGTAGGATATACATTTAAACAACGATATTACCAAAAATATATATGTATTGAATATCAGCAGTGTGACTAATACACAACATACTAAGTAACTATTTGCTGTACCTAGCAATCTCACGCTTTTGGAAACGGAAAGTCTGGGTGTTTGTCAACTCTACAAAGAAACAATGCAACAAATCAATTATAAAATCAACTTTTTCACTTACCCTTTAAATAAATCAAATGTAGCTATCCGTCCCGCTTCCCCTTTATTTAGTCCACGCAAAATCTTCATATCTGTCTCGTCCAAATTAAAATTAAAAATGTTGATATTGTCTTCAAGTTGCTGCCGTATTACACTTTTTGGTATTGGTGCTACACCTATTTGTACAAGAAACCTCAAAACGATTTGTGCCGGAGACTTTGAATGTTTTTGTGCAATTTTGGCCACTTCTGGGTCGCCCAAGAGGTTGGGCAGTTCTTTGGGCCTAGAATGGAAACAATGATACACCAGATCAGATAATATAAAAACTTACTTCTGTCCTATTCGCGTTAAAAAATCGTTGAAACTTGGGCTAACCAAAGGACTAAAAGCAACAACTGCAATTCCGTTCTTTTTGCAAAATTCTACGAGTTCGGATTGTTGTAGGTATACGTGAAGTTCTATTTGTAAACAGGCTGGTTTGATTCTTGCGGATTTGAGAACTGTAGTGATTTGGGATATGTTGTAATTTGACAAACCTATATTTTTGGTGCGTCCCGCATCAACTTGCTCTTCCATTTTCTGAAATGTAATCAAAATTGTAAGTTCGATTTTTTATAAAAATTAATTGTGTTATTGTGTACCTTCCAAAGCGCCACATGATCTGTTTTTGGTTCAACAGCGGTTTCACCATTTTCGTCAAGGTAAGGCTGTCCAGTTCCTTCTTTAACTTTACAACCAACAGGGAAATGGATCAAATATAAATCTACATAATCCAGCTGTAGACTTTTTAGGGATTTTTTGATAAATATCTCTACGCGATCTGGATGGACTCCAACCATTGGCAGTTTTGTAGTAATGAATAAATCTTCTCTTTTGAGCTTGCCGGAAGATATCCATTCCTTTAGTACTCGTCCAATATCGTTCTCGCTGTCGTAGACGAAAGCAGTGTCTATGTGACGATAACCAAGTTCCAGGGCTGCGTTGACAGCTGCTCCCGTTTCTTCGTTTGTCTAAAGATATTTTCTGTATATAGATGTAGGGACGTATTAAATATTTGAGGGACACAGAATTTTTTACAAAAACAAAATTTGTGCTGTTGAGAATATAGGAGTAGGTGATTACGTTGTACTTACATCAAATGTTCCTAGTCCAAGTCCTGGCATTTTTTGACCACTTGGAAGCGTTAAATTGATTTTTGCTGCCATGTCAAAATTTAATTACGACGGGAACTATCGCTGCAAGTACAAATGCAGTTTGTGAATATGAACAAATTATATAAATTGCCAAATATATATAGGTAAACAGATATACCTTTTCATGTTTGGTGAAGGTCAGATAAAAGTCGAGTGGTACTGGATTTTTTTTTTATTTTTACTCATCGGCTATACGTATATTGCTAATTATTGTGCAATAGTTCTATTGGAGATCCTCCCATGCTCCAGCTATAACTGATTTATTATCAATGTGAAATTTCTAGTGCGATACAACATAATCAAGTGAATTGAAGCTGAATAAAAATATGAAAAATCATGCTACCCTAATAAAGTGTTAATTTTTGGTATGGTTAAAAATGACAAAAAAATGTTCAGTAGTTAATACTGCTTTTTTCAAATTAGTGGGAACTCACAAACAATATGGCACAAAATAGGATTACTTTGTCTTTTGGCAAAAACGACACGGTAAGGTGAATTATTTTTGTTACAAACGTCGTTTTTGTATGAATAGAAAATGTGAGCTAAAAGGGAACACTTCAATATTTTTTTATTATTTATGAACTTATATGTGTTATTGAAATTTAGAAATAAAGAAGAATGAGTTCTATACATCATTCCATTTACATGAAATATCTAATAGAAAACGCGATAATTAAACAAAATCGTAGTTTCTTATTTATCTACCTGAATTTTTATTTTACTTCAAAATCGGGAACACATCATTCTTCAGAATTGAATATTAATAAGTATTAATACGTTTTATTTGCTTTTAACTATAAAATAACATTTTATTAAAACATTTTCTGTGCTTTGGTGACTAAACACATTTTTAGCATCTCTTTTTGAGACTTTTGAGAAAGTTGCAATAATCTATTACTACTAAATAAAGAAGCTAAAAAATTGGAATCAGTAGTCAGTATACAAAACTGCATGTTTAACAATTAGGTATCTTTTACCATTATAGAGATTTTATAGAATAGTAAACAATGAAATAACTATGACCCTATCATACATATTACGCACAGTTAGGTGCGGTCTTTGAAACATTTTCGTCGTAAGTACCTATGGTAAGTACCCTGTTTTCGGATTTCTTGACAACAAACAAATTTTTGAAATATACTTATATAGCCGATGAAGCACATGCAGGCGTATGTGATTATATTGTACTTACATCAAAGGTACCTACTCCAATTCCTGGCATTTTTTGACCACTGGGAAGCGTTAAAATAGGTTTTGCAATCATGTTAAGATTTATTAGACTCAATTACAGCACAAAAAATAGCTATTGAGAAGATAGACGTGTTATTGATTTGGAAGTGTAGATGATTATATTGAAGGTTGGATAAAAACCAAGAGGATAAACAGAGTAGTTTTATTTATATTTGTGTTATATGTTATATCATTATCAGAGTATATGGATTAATACTTATTGGGCAACAGATTTGTGATGCCAAGATAAGCTCTGACCCAACAAGTATATATTGCTTATATTTGAATACATTATATTGTTACGATTGACGGGCGAATCGGATCGGCCGTAGGTAAAACTCAACAATTTATTTCTTTAATAATAATAATAATTTGTTCTTTATTGTCCAATAAAATTTACCACTTATAGGACAATATTAATAACAATTAATAGTGTGCTTAACAAAATAAAGTTAAATAAAGAAAATTAACACTAAAAAAATCAAAATACAACAAACTTATAAGTGACCTTAACAAAATATATTATCATATACATTATCTACACCTTTGCACATGACATGAATTGATGAACGTTGTAAAACACAGGAATTACACTACTAACTATTGCAACGATTATGTACAGAAATGATTCCGACGAATTTCACTGGACGTTCTTGGCTGACTTCACTAGCTTCATTAGAATCTTCACTAGAATCCATTCCCGACGGTCGCCTCTATTTAAACCCATACTTCTCCGATCGAGATCTTTCACGAACATCCATCGCGACTCCGCTTCGAGACTTCCCTGCACGCCGCTTCGAGACTTCCGGTAACCGGCTCCAGATTGTCTTTATGCGCCCGCCGCTCGGCCGCCAATGAGTCACCGTTCATCGACACACATAATAGAAAAACTCATAAGTGTCGCACCGGAGAGGTTATGGGTTTATTTCGTAACAATATATAATGTATGAGTAATTTAACTTCAAGAAAAACAAAAATCTCTGTTATGTTTGTTATAACAATTTCCCGCTTTTTGAGAAATTGCTATAAAAGCACTAAAATCACCAACTCTAACTTTTTCTTGTGTCCAATTACCTCCTCATGAGATAACTAGAGCTTTTCGAAATAACACTAATTGCTCTGAATTATGTTCCTTTATTTCACTATATCGTAGGTACATTAACTTGCTCTAATGAGCACTTCTGCAAACTAGTCACCTCTCATGACTCTTTACTCTCGAAGTACTCACTTTTACATTAACTTGCTCCACTGAGCACTTCTGAAGAACTAGTCACCTCTCATGACTCTTATCGAAGTACTGCCTTTTCTTAAACTAACTTAGAATTATAAAGACTGGCATTCTCCCTCTCAATCATACAAAGTCCCAATCATATTCAAAATATTCATTCGACAGTTGATCCTACAACCAATCTCATTTAAACTAAGTCGTAACCGATATTGTCAAATCCTTTGTAGAACCGTCGTTTCCCAATTCGCTCTGGTCATGATTATGCACTAATTGTAGAAAAGTTCGTTTGTAATGATTTCATTGCTTTCAACAGTTTTAACGAACTCTTCCAGAAATATCCTAATGAAAAATATTATAACATTACTTTCAACGGTTTTAACGAACTCTTCCAAAAATATCCTAATCAAAAATATTATAACACGTTTGATATTCACTTACTTACAGTAAGCTCTGTTTAGAAGAAATTTGACAAAAAATGTTAGGATGAAATACCAACGATTAATTCAACGTATTTGTTGGATGTTTAGATTTCTTAGTATAAAATTCCAAAATTTATTTGATTATTTTAAACGTATTTAGGATGTTGGTATTTGTTTTTTTTTCTACTTTTTCATCAACTTTAAAAACATGGCAATACAAAATAGACTGTCTTTAAAATGTCTGGGATAATTTAACTTCTGCCTTTATAATTTACCTATTAACTGTATTTTGTTTCGGGATTAAGAAATTAAACACTGAAAATTAAAAACACTTTTATTGACTCCTATTTTATTTCATCGGATAATCTGGATGTTTCTCCACTCTGAAAAAAAATATTTTAGAATTTTTTTAAAACACAGTTTTTACCTACCCTGGAATAACTTTAAAATCTGCGATACGCGCAGGTTCTCCTACTTCCAAATCATACAACGCCTTCATATCTTTTTCATCTAAGTTAAAATCAAAAATACTTATATTTTCTTCAATCCTTTTGGGTGTAACACTTTTGGGAATTGCAGCAACACCTATTTGCAAAAGAAATCTTAAAGCCACTTGTGCGACGGTTTTTTTATGTTTTTGGGCAATTTTTGCTATTACTGGATCACTAAGTATATCAGGTAGTTGTCTAGTTCTGTAGAAAATACTGTTACTATCCTAATATGTAAACAGTTAGCTACATACTTGCTACCCATTTTTTCCAAAAATTTGTTGAAACCTGGATTTGCCAAAGGACTGTAAGCGACAACGGTGATACCATTTTTCTTACAAAATTCAAGCAAATTACGTTGCTGTAAATAAACGTGTATTTCTACTTGGAGGTTAGCGGGTCTTATTCTCGCTGATTTCAGAACAGTTGTAATTTGGGAGATATTGTAGTTCGATAGACCTATACTTTTGGCGCGACCTGCATCTACCTGTTCTTCCATTTTCTAAAATAGCAAACTTCGCTAAATATATTTTTTCTACTTTTTTTTTAACTGTACCTTCCAAATAGCCGCATGGTCTGTCTTAGGTTCTGTTAAAGCTACTCCATTTTCTACACTAAACATGTGACTGCCCCCTTCCTGATATTTGTAGCCCACAGGAAAATGAATTAAGTACAAGTCGACGTAATCGAGTTGTAGGTTTTCTAAAGATTTCTTCATAAACATTTCTACTCGATCTGGATGAACTCCTATCAGCGGTAACTTGGTGGTGATAAACAAGTCCTGTCGCTTGAGCTTGCCAGATGATATCCACTGGTTGATAACTTTACCAATAGGTCGTTCATTTTGGTAAACGAAAGCCGTGTCGATGTGACGATATCCCAGTTCTAAAGCTACATTTATTGCTGCTTCAACTTCTTCGTCGTTTTTGGTCTGAGTGTAATAGTTATTTTTGGAACTAAAAAGAATTTTTACTTACTTCGAAAGTCCCGATTCCAAGGGCTGGCATTTTTTGACCACTTGGAAGAGTCAAGGAAATTTTTGAGGCCATTTGGTGCTAATTCTAACAAAAATTCTAGAAGAAAGGAGCTATGTTACTTCGCTTGTAGATGACGGATTTTCTAAAATGGCATCTTTTATATATACTTGAATATTTTTCTTTTGAGATTTAATCGGATAAAAATATGCTGTGTAATTAAAGATTATTTCACTTTTTACACTAATCGATAAAAGCGTTTTCTAATATCTGTTACACAACAACGTTTTATTTTAATGACTATCACTTATCACTTATGAGTCTAGAACAATGTTTTTAAAAAAGATATAAAAAGGTAAAAATAGAACAAATAAAATATGTTGAGGACGATGACATGACAAGAAAATAAATTATTAAAAGATAATAATCTTACAGCCAAAAATGATAAAGAAAACAATATAGAAACCACAAATAGTCGGCAACTAAAAAGCGATAAGCGGTAAGTAGTGGAAAAGTAAGATGACGATAAAGAATGAAAAGCAACAATGGTTGAATAAATAACATTGTCGACTTTAAAGTTTACTTGCTGTAATTGTTTTCATTTTGGAAGCAATATGCTTTCAATGTTTAAATGTATACACATAAAATTAATATTTAAGACAGACGTTTATAAATAACAAATAAGCCGTCACTAGTTGGACAATGTTAAGATTTATTTTGAATACAAATTTAAAGAAATACTAACACAATATACGACATTTGTAAGTTATTTTAATGGATAGTCTGGATGTTTGCCAATACTATAAAAATACATGTTAATTTTTTTTCTGAACTGTAAAAACATATTTACCCAAGCATCAATGTTTTAAAATCGAGTACTCGACCTTCCTCTCCTCTTTCTAAAGCATATAAAGATTTCATATCATCTTCATCTAAGCCAAAATCAAAAAGATTTATATTCTCTTCTATTCTTTTTGGTGTGACGCTCTTCGGAACTGCGGAAACACCTATCTGTAGAAGAAACTTCAAAGCAATTTGTGCTGATGTTTTCTTATGCTTTTCAGCAATTTTGGCAATCACAGGATCGACGAAAATATTAGGCAATTGTTTAGAACTACAACTTTTAGGAAATTACAACATGCACTAAAATATTTGACAACCTACTCTATTCCCCGTTGTTCTAAAACTCGTTCAAATCCTGGATGTGCGATAGGAGAATATGCAACGACCGTGATTCCGTTCTTATGACAAAAATCCACAAGTTCTTTTTGCTGTAAATACACATGCATTTAAATTTGTAAATTCGCGGGTTTTATTTTTGCCATCTTCAGCACCGTCGAAATTTGTGCGATGTTATAATTGGACAGACCAATGTTTTTAGCACGTCCTGCTTCTACCTGTTCTTCCATTTTCTGAAATTATAAAAATTATTCTCTGTATCGAAAAAGTAAGTATTTTGTGTACCTTCCAAAGAGCTGCATGATCGGTTTTGCCCTCAGTTACAACTTCACCTTTGTCGTCAACATACGCCCTTACATTACCTTCCTTATATTTGCAGCCAACTGGGAAATGAATCAAGTATAAATCCACGTAATCCAGTTGTAGATTTTCTATAGACTTTTTCATGAACGCATCTACTCTATCCGGATGAACCGCCACCAGTGGTAGTTTTGTAGTAATAAACAAATCTTCCCGTTTGAGTTTTCCAGATGATAGCCATTGTTTCAAGACTCTGCCAATAGCTTGTTCATTTTCATAGGCCCATGCTGTGTCTATGTGACGGTATCCCAGTTCTAGTGCCGTGTTAACGGCCTTCTCAATCTCAACGTCATCTTTTGCCTAAATATACTTGGTAATAAAAATATCAAGTACTATGTTAGATTTTTCTTACTTGCGCCGTTCCCAAACCAAGAATCGGCATTTTTTGCCCGCTTGGAAGTGTCAAAAACATTTTTGATGTCATATTTGTAAGTATTCAAACACTGCGTAGGTATTTACATTTAAAAGTTGTAGTTGTGTTTAAAAGTGATATTTATACGTATGCAGCTTAAGTAGTTGGTGAAAGTTAGATAAACTGTTATCTTCATAGAGCAGTGGTTCTTTTTTAAAACTATCGGTAAGATTACATTATTTTGCAATATACATTATCTGCACTGTCATGCACACGTTCTGCTGTTCATATGTGCATAACAGTGCAGTTAGTTACACGTTGTTTAATGCTGGAGCTGCTAATACAGGTTTATTTTCAAGACAAAAAATCAATATGACACAGTAATCTAATCTCACCGACAGTTCGTTTAATAGGGCTAATGCTATATCAGATAAAAGTTTATCTAACCTTCACCACTAAGCTGCATACTCATTAATAGCATTTTTAAACATAACTACAACTTTTAAGTGCAAATATACAGTGTCTGAGGTGCTTAAAACTATGACATCAAAAATCTTTTTGACGCTTCCAAGCGGGCAAAAATGCCGATTTTTGGTTTGGGAACGGCTCGAGTAAGAAAAATCTTATTTTAAAGTGGAAACTTTTATAATTATATTTAGGCAAGACATGTTGAGGTTGAGAGCGCTGTTAATATAGCACTAAAATTGGGATACCGTCACATAGACACAGCATGGGCCTACGAAAACGAGCAGGGTATTGGCAGAGTCTTGAACCAATAATTATCGTCTGAAAAACTCAAACGAAAAAATTTGTTTATTACCACAAAGCTACCACTGGTGGAAGTGCATCCGAATCGACTAGATGCGTTCATGAAAAAGTCCTTGGAAAATCTACAACTGGATTACGTGGATTTATACTTGATTCAGTTCCCGGTTGGTTGCAAATATGTGGAAGGTAATGTGAGGCCGTACGTTGACCACATAGCCGAGGTTGTAACTGAGGGAAAAACAGATCATGCAGCTTTGTGGAGGGTAGTCCAAATATTTACTTTTTCAACGAAGACAGTTATTTTTCCAGTTTTAGAAAATGGAAGAACAAGTTGGAATGGGACGCGAATTTACAAATAGAAATGCATGTGTATCTACAACAAAAAGAACTTGTTGATTTCTGTTATAAGTATGGAGCCACGATCGTTGCATACTGTCCTATTGCACATCCAGGATTCGAATAAGCTCTAGGAAAAAGGGGAATAGAGTAGTAGGTAGTCAGATATTTTATTTATGATGCAGTTTCCTAAAAATCGTATTACTAAAATACTATTATTATCGTATTACTATTAAAGGTCTGTGAACATATCATTGATTTTTGGATTAGACGAGAATCCTAATTCGATAAGGGTTATACTCGTATACTTAACGTTTAGATAATAGTAATAATAATAATCTATTCTCTTGGCATGTTATCGTCCTCGGAGTATTTTAAGTATTTTGTTTTCTGAATTTTTAAAAACATTGTTCTATAGTGACAAATATCATCATATAAAAACTTATTTCAATTCGACGAGCAAAAGATTGCTATAACGAAAGTCAGGAATAAATCGTTTTTAATTGAATTTAATATTTATTTTAAATTTAAATAAACACTATACATTATTTAAATGGTCAATGTGGATGTTTTTGAATGCTGTAAAAACGTGTATAAAAATTTGTGAATAAGTAGCCAAAATACAGACATTAGCAATCCAACATCAGATAATCGACATTTATCTCCTTTTTCTAAACATTTAAAGATTTCATATCGCCTTTGTCTAACTCAAAATCAAAAACAGTTATATTTTCTTTTATTTTTGTTTGTGTGACGCTTTTCGGAATCAGGGAAACCCCTTTTTTTAGAAGAAACGTTAAAGCGCTTTGTGCTGGCGTTTTCTTATGCGTTTTAGAAATTTTGGCAATCACAGGATTGGCAAAAATATTAGGTAAATATTTAGAACTACAAAAAAATGATAATAATTACTCTTTTCCCCGTCGTTTGCGCAAACGTTTGATTTGCGACAGGACAGTATGCAACGATAGTTATGCCATTCTTAGACAGACGGTTGAAGATGCACAAACATTTCCATTTTTGTAAATTCAGAGGTTTTTATTTTGCGGTCTTTAGTACTGCCAAAATATGCGCGATGTTATATACTTGACAGACCAAAATTTGTAATTGCTCTTCCATTTACTGAATTTATAAAAAAATTCTCTATGTCGAAAAAGTAAGTATTGGGAACACCTACCAAAGAGCTGCATGATCGGTTTTTTCTTCAGTCACAACCTCACTTTTGTTATCACGTTACTTTCCTTAAATTTGCAACCAACTGGGAAATAAGTCAACTATAAATCCACGTAATCTAGTTCTAGGTTTTCCACGAATTTTTTCATGAACGCATCTACTCGATTCATATGACCCACCACCATCAGTATTAAGGAGTATTCATTTTATTAAACGGACACGCTGAAAGTAACGCCAATTTTCAACGTAAACTATTCTACTTGATATACCTCAATGAAAGCTTAAAATTATATCTGTTAAATGCCATTTTTGTTTTCAAATAAACGTTATTTCTTTTTAAAATGAAGCGAATCGACACTGAGACGAGAAAACTATTTTGGTAAAGGTGATGCTCCGAAAAACTGCAGCTGTGGGAATTGGTTAAATGACTAAAATAACTAAATATTTAAAATTAGCAGTGTTCCAAATAATCAGAAAGTTTGGAGAGCTCAATACTTGAAGATTTCAGACGTAAAAAAGACTCGGTTAACAATAAATATTGAGAAAAACACAGTGGCGTAACGAAAAAAAATGAGTCCCCCACAGCAGAATTATTTTCAGTTGCGTATTATTCGATAATACGTAAATACTTTAAAAATATTATTTCTACCGTAATTCAGCTTCCTACTGGTGTTTATAATATTTATTTTTGTACGTCAGGTAATGGTACATTTTTTTTCGACATTTGTCCAATAGCTGACACGAAGTTGTCAGGTATTGGTACATTATGACAAATTTAGTTATTTCGTTATAAGTATATTAAATATATTAAGTTTCAGTAGTCACAATTGCGGAAATAGCTTCTTTTCGTGTTGTAAAATCAACGTACCAGTAGCTGATGGTCTCTATTTATCTTTGAAATTACAGAAATAATTAAGTTTATGATCTGGATCAG